AACTGGCGAACGTACTTCTAGATTCAGAGACTGAAAACAAATTTATCCAACCAATGTAAGTTAGTGCATTTTAAGTCTATTTTCTTTCAGAAACACGGCACAGGAAGGAAATGGATCGGTTATTCTCTCGGGTACAGACAAAATTTCCAATGCGTTGGTAAGCTTTCTTGTAATTAATCGCCGCACTATTACCCTCTCAGTACTAGCGCCACCTAGCCCAATCTAGCCCCGCGGGGCCGACTTAAGTTGTGTTGTTTACTTTAACATATTTTGCCGATTTATTTTCCCCTCGCTCTAACTTTGACTTTAGAGTGTCCACTGGAGTGCGTGTGCTAGAATTTCTATGCAGGGTGTCGGATAGCATCAAACAGGGGTTGTTCGGAAAAATGTGCTTAGCATTAGGAAACTAAAGTGGACTGTAAATCATTGTCAGTAAACAATACCGGTTTGTATATTTCATTGGAAACCAGAAGAGACACAGAATGCGCCATGAAAATAATTAGTTAAGGTTTATACTGTTGCAGATGGTAGCATATGCTACCATCTGAAACAGTATAAACCTTAACTAATTATACATCTAAATAAAAGTTGTCCGAGACTCCAACGATATTGTTTTCATTGCAAATGGTGTGGAAAAGGATAGTGAAGTTATAAAACTTTCTTTGGTATTTAACGAGTGCGTTTTCATTATTATTTTCCAGTTGTTCAGTAAGATAACTTAAAAAAATGTTCTGTCGTTTTTAATTTACCGCGAAAGATAAAAATTCTTACTTTCTGGTTCTTCAACACTTCTTCGACCCCATTCAACATAAGTAACGCGCTTGCATTTCAAACTATCACAAGTTGGGTTACACTATATAATTTTGCGCCTTTACTAAATATCCCGAAATGATGTCAATCTCGTTTGAACATTTTTGAGAGCAGTTAAGGCAAACAGTCTTATTAATTGATTTCCTCCGAACTTACGGGAAGTTAGAGGAGTAAGATTTGAAACACGTAATTATTTAAACTGTTAACTACTTGTTATCTTAACAGATCTCATAATGATCTATTGATTGGTAGATTTCTTATTCAGCCGTCTTGTTAGACACTGATAGGAAGTAGCCAAATTTTTTTCCGGACTCGCACGAATGGTTCTTGTTGTTAACGTATACACGGGTCGAATTGGTCTTGCAGTCTTTACGTTTTGGGAAAATTACATCGATCCACTCCATTAAACTAACAATAACACTCACAAGACTCTTCCTGACTTTTTTGAAATTAATTCGCGCATTTGTGATTGCAGTATTTTGCAAGTTTCAATATTTTTTGCGAGCAATTTATGTTCCTCTGAGTTTTCCAAAAACTTTCGTCTAAATCCACCGAAAAAGCAGTGTACTAACCCTCCTCTCTGCTCTATATGGTTACTTGCCACAAACAACTTTATACTATGCTTTTTGATTAACAGACGCTTTTTAATAGACTGCCGCGTTTGATTTCTGCAGCTAAAAGTCGGCAATACTGGAATGCGTTAAGGTTGCTGTTTTTTATCTTTGCTTAGTTAGCCTCAATTGCTTATACGAAAACTTTCAATGCGAAGAAATCTATTTCCATTTCAATTATTTTGGAAAAAAATACGTATATATCCGCATTGCAATGCTGTAGTTTAGCTGACTCTCTGTAACAGAACCTCATGCCCTTGAATTGCCATCTTATAGTTATCAAAGCTAGAGTAAAAAATGATGGTTCCAACTTGGAAGCAAATGAAATTTATACCTGCTGAAAACGATGAAATTTCTATGTTCACACTTGAGCTAATTTAGGTGTTGAGAGTGTTGACATGTTGCCTGGTCTTATGTATACACATAATGTTATATGTGTAAGACTTATAGCGTACTATCTATAACATATTTACTATTCTTCTACAAGTCCCCTTAACGTGTACCACGATTTATATATAATTTTCTTGACTTGTTTGCTACTCATCCTCTCTACAAATATATATATAGTAGCAGATATGCGTACACCGATCTGTCAGAGGACCCACACATCCGTCTTTGTTCCCATTAGAGGTCTCACTCGAGCCTCCACCGTAAGGTGACTAGGATATAGAATATAAGCAGAAGGACATTACCAGTGTCCCACGTCTTTGCTGGTAATATCAATTGGATACCTGAATTCGACGAACGCCTACTGACTTACACTTCGGCCAGTCTGATAATCTTGTATGATTAAGGATTCCCGACGGAATCCGAAACGTCAGGAAAATGAAACTCTTGTTCCAGTGATCGCATCCTCTTCTAATGAATCTTGTATCAGACATTGTTTAAATGTAGCGAATTTTGGTATATCTCCCATTTGTCTGGAAACTAACTTGGGCACCAAACTCAAAAATTAACATAGTCAAGTTACGCTGTTCCTAAAAACTTGATCATTTTATAATTTAAGTTATTGGTATGCCGATATTTATCATTTCAACAACCATTACCATCACGGAAAGCCGTTTACTGATCTGTGTAAGGACATGCTCATCCCATTGCGTTTTGGGGATCAACCTTAAGCCCGCGTAGGCAAGGAGGCATGCTTACAATGATTAGGGAGACTGGGATGGCCACCACTCCGTCGAAAAGTCGCACTTAGCGCCTCGGACTTTAGAGGCGCACAAGCTTTTTGCAACCTTTCCTTTCGTAGAGGTCCAGAGTGCCCCAACTAACCTAGTTTTCTTCCCTGCCATCAGATCATTTTGGATTTTCACGACTACATGCGGGACTCAATGCGCAGCTTTATTGATACAAGTCTGGCCGAGGGCACCTACAGTCTTACTGGTCTGGACGGCCAAATCCTCCTGTCCAAGTAGGTTTCCAGTGTCTGTGTTTCAGTCGCTTTATGTCTCACGTGACTTACTGAGATGTTGCTTACATCTGATTTGCCTACCTCTGATTTCCAGCGCCACCGAAATGGAGGTCCGCAGCTACTTAAAGGAGCACTTTGCACTTGACTATGCACGAGCACACGCCTCGACCGCGCCCAGTACTTCGACTACAGCCTCCACATCAGCGTACGTTTTTTGAGATCTGTTGGTGATCCACATTTTACACCTTACTTCTTCTTCCCTCACTGAGTGAACGACCTAGTGTTGTTTGCATTGAGTTCATTCTCTGTGCGCGTACGGGATGCTTCTCTTCGACAATCAGAACTGGTCAAAGGGCAACCTTTATGGCCCGTTCGAATTAACTTTGGGATTCACCGAAATTCCATAAATTTGCCTCACAGAGACAGAGCGATTTTTGGGGCCCTTTTATGGCCTCGAAACCTGCGTCAGCATATTTAAATTGAAAGAAAAGACCAGCTGGCGAGTGTGCGTGTGCCTTTGATAAATTCTTGTCGGGCCAGTACATGCATATAGGTACGAAGTGATGCAACTTTGTCCATGGTAT